AAATAATTTAAGTAAATTAACAAAAGTTTACTTCTTATTTAATTATTCTTACTTAAGTAAATATTTATTTAGCTAGAAATCAGTTATTTTAGTACTAAGAAAAAAAGTAATATTCATCTTCTATAATAATATAAAAAAGTATTACTTAGCTATTTATATATATATCTTAAGTAAAAAACCTTGTTCTTAATTAGTAAGCTAATTTATATAAGGCCTATCTTTATAGTTAAAGATTATAATAATATTTATATATAATAGTATTTCTATTTAAAAACCTAGTCTTATTAAAATTATAAATATTATAACATACCTAAATAGTAAGTTACTACTTATTCTTTAGCTTTCCACTTTTTCAATAAGTTAATTAAGCTATAATATATAAAATTAATTAAAACTACTTATTACTATTTTTTATTACTATCCTAAACTACTTTATAGGTTTATATATTATATTTAGTCTTTTTATAATTACTATATTATTATATACCTAGCTTACTACCCTCTATATAACCTTTCTTGTAGGATATTCTTTTACCTTTAGCTTTAATACCTTTTTTTCCTTTTTATAGCGCCTTTACTTTAGTTATATTAAGTAAACTTTTAAGATATAGTTAGGTCTTTCTAGCTTCTTACTACTTACTTAGTATATTTATATTAGAAGTAAGAATATCTTAAATATTCTTATACTTCTTTATCTTATATTTCCTCTATTATAGAGGTTATCTATATATAAGACATATATATTTATAATCTACTAACCTAGTAGACTAATACATATACTAATTACGTAAGCACGTCTAATTACGTAATTAACAGAAGATTAGAGAAGGTACTAAGATGTCTAAGATCCTACCTTCTACTTCTATCTTTTCTATAAGGTTATTACTTTAAGCTAGGGTTATTTACTTAAGGTTATTAAGGTATATAACTAAGGGTTAATTTATAAGTAGCTTACGTACGTATAGAATATTTTAGTAAGCTAAGTATAGCTATATAAGAACTAGAATTCTTTCTGTTTCTAGTTTTCTTTCTTTCTCTCTCTAAGTAAGTAAATACTTAATAATCTAACTACTATACTCTCTTTAACTATATATCCTTATATCTTCTACTTACCTACCCTAGGTATAAGTATTTCTATCTCCTTTTTATTTTATATTCTTACTTCTATAGGATATATTTTTATATAAGAGATATACTCTTTTATATTATCCTAAGCTAGAATTCTTTATCTAAGAGACTAGCTTACCTATTATACTAATAATTTAGCTTTATATAAAGTCTAATATCTTTAGCCTTAATAAAAGTAAGCCTATATACTAACTTACTAATACTTTTAGCTTAGAGGTTAATTACCTTATATATTAGTAATTATAAGCTTTCTTAATATCCTTAGATCTTCTTTTTTAGTAAACTAGTACTTTATACGCCCTTTAGTGCTATAGTTAGCGTCTTTAGGTCCTATAAGCCTAAGCTAGTTAGACATAAGCTAGAAGGTGTTAGTGTATTTAGCTTAAAATCTAGGTAAGAAATAACTACTTTAGGGTTAAAAGGTATAAGGCTAGCTTATCTAAAGCTAGCTTATATGTTTTTTCTCCCTATTAAAGTAAAAAATACTACTTTAAAGGTAGAAAAGAAGTTATTTTTTATAATATATAAAATCTATATCTATATTATCTTCTTAATTTCCTTACTATATAAGAGCTTTAATAGGCTAAAATAACTTATATTAAGAGGCTAAAGCTTATATAATAAATAAGGAGGTATATATAAAGTAATAAACCTTTATTTCTTATATAAATTATTAAGTTTAGTTAATTTATAGCTATTATAGCTATTAAGGATTAATAGTTAATAAGTACTTTTTATATAAGTCTTTATATACTAGTTAAAATAACTTAACTAATTTAGGCTAATCTTATTTACTATTTATTTATTTTTACTTAGGTAGATATACTATTTAGCTAGGAATTAGCTGTTTTAGTACTAGGAGAGGAGGTAATTTCTACCTTTTATAATAATATATAAAGGTATTACCTAGCTCTCTTTATTTATACCTAAAATAATAAAACCTTATTCTTAATTACTAGGCAGCTTTATATAAGGCCTTACCTTATAGTTAGAGTTTATAATAACTTTTATATAAAATAGTATTTCTATTAGAAACCTAGTCTTATTAAAGTTAAAGATATTATAATCTTATATTTAATACTTTATAATTATAATTTATATAAGTATAAACTAACCTTATACTACTATAAATTCTTTAGCTAAGGCTTTTTTATAGTTAACTTAGTATTAAAATTATATTTATAATTATAGGCATTATTATATAGAGTTATATACCTCTTAAGGTCTAATAGGTATTATATTATATACGTTTAGGAGTTAGTTACCTATATCTTATACGTCCTTTTATTATAAAGAAAACCTTTAATTAATTAGGTTAATAACCCTCTTAAGAATTACCTCCTCCTTAACTTCTGTTATCTTCTTTAAATTTAGACGTATCATGTCTTATCTAACCCGTCTAGTAAGTTAGTAACAGAGTAAGGATTAAGGGACCTTAAAGATAGTAGCTACGTTTTATATAGATATTTTTAGGTCTTTTTTAACAGCTTAGATAGTAAGGATAATACAGCTTTTAATTAAAGAAGATTATATATTTCTATGTAAAGAAATACTAGTGTAAAGGTTAAAGAGGAAGAAAAGATAAGAATTAGGCTACTTGCTATAATAGGCCACTTGCTATATATATACGTTATATATTATATTTATATTATATTCTTATTACTTTACTATACTTAGTATTTCTTTTTAACTTTTTATTTTCTATATAGTATTTTATAACGCCTTTTAGCTAAATACTACCTTATTTATAAAATTTAAAGTAATATTATACTAAAAGTAGTGTTATATAGTAATATCCTATATAAGGCTACCTTATCCTTCTTATAATAAGTATTAATACTAAAGTGTTATATATAGTATACCTTATATATAAGTAATAGCCTAGAGGCTTTACTACCTAGACTATATATCTAGGAGGGCCTATTAGAGCTTATCTTTAGAATATTACTTTGTTATACGTTAAAGAAAGGATTCTAAAAGAATAGCGCTTTTTAACAATAAGCTATAATTATTATAATAGTTTAAAAAAGGTAGTTATGTTAATAAAGAAGGGGAAATATAGGAATTCTAAGTAGTTTAGATATAAGGTAGCAAAGTTAGTTTTTACTATAATAGAATTATAAATTTAATTAATATATAGAGAACCCTCTACTTATAGTTATCTATATAAGCTAGCTATAGCTGAATATAATCTAGAAGTAAACAAGTAAATAACTTTTCTTATATAAAATTATAGTATATAAGAGAAATAATTTATAATAACTTAATTTCATATTAACTATAAAGTATTATAAAGATGTAAGTAGAGCGCTAAAACCTTTATTAGACCTTTCTAATATAACGCTAAGATATTCATTCTTTTAAGTACTTATTACCTACAATAAACTACATATAGCCTTATAAGGCGCTACGTTAGGTCTACAGACCTTTGTACTTAATATTATAGTAAGGTGCTATAAGTCTCCTAACATATACATAGTATACACCTAAAGCACTGCCTTATCATAAATAATATTAAGCTAACTAGATACCTTAAAATTAAGAAAGAATACTTACTATATAGCCTTACTAAATCTCTTTATATATACTATTTATATACTTATTTTACTTACTTATTAAGGTAGGTAAAATGGAAAAAAAGTATAGTGTTTTTTACTTTCTAGAGAATATAAGCTTATAGAGGATAAATATAGTATAAACGCTATATTTCCTTTAGGTAGAAGTAAAGAACCTAAACCTATTTATTTCTAGATTCTATAGATCTACTATTATATAAGTGAAATAATTTATTTACGTAGTATAATATAATTTATATACCTAAGTAACTATATATAACCTTTATAGTCTACTCTCTATACCTAGTATATTAAGATATAGTGTATTATTTATAGCGTAGTTAAGGTGGCGTACTATAAGGTGTTAGGAGACTTGTGGCACCCTACTGTACATCCCCCTAGAGGGGTACTGCCCTTACCTATAGGCTAGAGGCAGTGCAGTAGTGTTAGATGGTCCTATCTATGTTGCTCCTTATACCTTACACTTCTTTCCTCCTCCTTTCTCCTTTAGTAAACCTTTATTACCCTACACTGTAGGTCATATACATAACACAGCGTGCTGCCAGGTGTAGTACCGCTGAGAGACATAGATGTGAGAGTAGCACTGTACAACCGAGCACACAGAATCCCCCCCTACGCTATAGTCTCTGCTTATGCAGAGTATATAATAAGGGAGGGGAGTCTGTATGGATTGTGGACGCTAAAGATCCTCTAAGCACTTAACAGTAAGGAATAATTTAAATTGAAATCCTAGACACGGCCTGCTTTTGAGCTTCCAGTAACTCTGCCAGAACTGACTGGGTTGTGCCTGCAGCCTTTCCCCATTGTGTGGAGCTTTTTGATTAATCTCTGCAGTTCCTAGTCCAGCCAAATGGTGCCGAGCCATTAGAACACCGCTTGAATCCGACTTGTGGTCCTGGCGAATCTCAAGTGCCGCGCACATTTCCTTGAGGCTTAATGGCCAGGCAGAAGCGAGAACCAGTAGTAAGACTTTCTTCGTCTTAAGTGGCTGTGCTCTACTAGTCAATAGCCGTTTGTATACGTCATTAAGCTTGGTGGTATTTAAGATGGCCTCCAACTCTATGCCTGACATGCCGTTGATCCCTGCTTCTTTGACGAGCTTTATCACGAGAGATATCCACAGAAACGTGAAGTCGGCGCCGCGAACCAGTTTCTCTTTCAGGCAAGACAGAACCTCAGTGGACAGTAAATTCTGCTGCCCGAGGTCTTCCACCTTGGATCTCATAAAGAGACCGATATCACCTGCGACAGGTGCAACTTCCTCTTTGGCAGCGAGCCTTATCTTATTGCACCGACCTAGTTCGTCATGCGTTGTCTATTTTTAGACTCTTCATCCAAACCGAGCTGGAGCATCCGGCATATGATGTTGTGCGGACGGCTGAGAACGATGATCTTGAAGCGATGTTGACACGTCTTACCCCAGTTGGATTTGAGGTACAAGTTCATCGACTTGATCAGCTCATTGAGTGACTTCGAGTTACACTCGTCAAGGCCGTCTAAAACCCACACCAGATCACCCTTGAAATTTTGGAGAATATTCATTAGGATGGACCAAAGCAAGGAAACCCTATTGAATGATTTCATCGGCATGCTGTTAAACTTTGGTAGCATGTAGTCGATGAGCCGTCGCTGTGAGCTACACAGCTGATGGAGCAGGGCAGATACCTCAGCAGCAGCATTGTCTTGATCGTTGAGGCCTTCTCCGAAGAAGAAATAACATACGTGTCGCCGTTGGACTCCGCCGGGCTGATCTTGCAGATGGTTGGCGAGAAATTTGGCGATGACAGACTTGCCACAGCCTGCATCTGCCGTGATCCATAAAAGGGCAGATCCTTCGAGAGCTTCCCACTGAATCCATTTCTTGTGCAGCAATACCCATGTGCATGTCCCAGAGATAGGATCATCGACTTGCTCTAGGTGATATCTGTAGTCTGAATTCATCGCGCGCATGAAAGCTTGTTCATGTGACGTAAACACTTCATGTACAACTAGTTAACCAAATGGCACACACAGCTTTAGGGCCTGCAGAACTTCAAGTCTACTGCTTACCATCGTTATCTCTTTCACCGTCACTTGCGCCTCTAATTAAATCCATTACGGCAGATATGGCCGTCCTGTAGCGTGCGTGGGATGGAGACGGAAACTTGAATGGTGGGCGGGTGAAGCGATATCCAGCTCGTTTGCTAGGCGCATTATGGAGGAATGTCGTCCAACCACCTGAAGTACATGTTAGTGAATTGATTTAGCCGTAGTGTAGAAATTTCAATAAAGGGGCAAAGCTGGAGGACAAATACGATAATTGAGGCCAGGCATTAGCTGGGTCTCGTAAAAGCTTCGGATGCCAAAGTCACCTCCTTGGCACATAAATGAGTTAGGGATGTTCTTCAGCATTTCCGCATTTACCATGAGGTGCTTGGACAATTTCGAGTTGCTTAGGTAGCCAACTGTTCCGACCCGCAGTAACGGAGTCCCAATTCTGTCCCAGAATGCCAAATCAGAACCTCGATGAGGTGTGCCGGAGAAGACAACGCCACGAATGTTGCTAATGATACTCTCATTTGTTACGCTTATGTGCCCGAATGACTGCCTGCAGATTTGGTTGTGCTTAACGTTGTGCTTAACGTTTAAACCTTCATGATGGAGTAACGTTTCGCGATTGAGATGCTTAACTCATTTGTTTGAAGACCAAACCACCGAGATTGTAACAAACAAAGATTATAGCCCGCTGCCTCTTAATCCAAGTCATACGAACGGCGTATAATTTAGCGAGTAATTCTGATGCAAAATCCCGGACGTCTGAGGATGAACGGCTGAAGTATGTCTTCAAGTTATACCCGAAAGAGAGCACCCGTGCGTGAGTGATGTCATTTGGCAGGCGCTGTTCGTCGCTCAGCCAATTGAGGTCTGTAGTACGATCAGTTCAAGTCTGTTCACGATGCCCATTGAGTCCGTGAATTGCGACGATGTCAATGTGGTCTAGGGCGTCCCCCTGGCGGTCCACAACCCCCTTTATTCCAAAAGGTGACATATTACACAGATCTTCGTCGCCATTTTGATTCGGAGGTCCTGTGTTCGGGTAGCTTTTGTCATCTGTTTTGGTCAGGGGTTGTCGTCGTAGCTTTTCGTCACCGGTCGTGCTGTTGTTGCCTTTCCTGTGGAAGGGCCAAGGATGTGGGAATGGCATAATGAAATTCTTTATCCGTTTGTCTCTGCGATTCCCATTGCCCACATAGGTTTCTCGCCTCGACAGTAATGTTGAGTAACTCAAATACCCCACTTGCGCAAATACTCCGCTTCCACAAATGCCGAAAATGCCGAACTTCCCCTCCTTCATTAACATCATCACTTTTTTCAAACTATCACAACAATTACAATATTTTGTCAAATAACACCATTTTTTCAGAATATCTTCTTTAACCCATCATAAAGCAATATACTAAAGATAAGCTCTAACAGGCACTTCTAGAAGTAGGACATAGTCGCCCTATCTCTGATATAGCTTCTAAATAAGGTATTATCACAGGCAGGAATAGTATTGAGTAGAGGAGTTAGTAATAGGTGTAGTTAGGGTTTAATTATAACAATTATTCCTATCTGCCCTCCCCTTCCCTAGGATTCCTATAGATTTCTCCTTTTATATGCCCCTTGGCCTATAGTTTACCTATATCTAGCCTTACCCTAGTGCCCCCCTAGCGCCCTATTATAGCGCCTAACATAATCCCCCCCCTCTAAGGTCCTGTCCTTAGGACCTTAGACATGTAGCTAGTAACCTGCTGTTACCCTCTATTACACTACCTAGTATCTTAGAAGCGTCTAGGAACGTCTTTTAGGCCTAGCAGGTTATTAAGCTAATAGTTATCTCCCTAGCTAACTGCCTGCCTTAACCTTACCTTTATAGCTACTATAGCCTAGCTAGGCTATAACGTTACTACTTAGTATTACTATTCTAGCTTAGGGGTATAAGTGATTTATTACTTACTTAGCCTAGCTAGGGGCTACTTACGTTTATATAAAGGCATTTTACTTACTTATAATATATTTTATTACTATACTTTTTTTTAACCTTTAGGTAAAATAGGCTTTTTTATTATTTTTAGTTATAGTGCTTAGCTTTTTATAACTACTTACTTTTTTTAAGTAATAAAACGCCTTAAGTTATACTATTTTTATAATAAATAAAAGCCTTAGTTTATTACCTTATAAGTAGTACTAGTAACCTCTTAGGTCTTACTTACTACTTTTTATAAGGTCTTAGTTTACTTATCTTTATAGGCTTAAGTTATTATTATAACTTACTTTTTATTTAAGGCTAACTAAAAAAGGTAATTTTTTTAACCTAACTTATTTTTAATTTCTTTTTATATTAATATCTTTATATTATTTTTCTTATTTTTATTTTAATTTATTACTACTACTACCTAGCTACTATAATAATAACAATAATAATAGTATTAGTAATAATAATAGTAGTATTAGCTTCTTTACTATTACTATTATATTTACTAGCGTCTTTAGCTTTTAAGGTCCTTTTACTAACGCCCTAGGCGCCTTTAGTACCCCTTTAGCCCCTCTTAAGGCCTTTCTTACTAATAGTAGTAAAAGTAAAAATAAAAACAAAAATAAAGATAAAGTTAATATTTATATTATATTTTATTACTACTACTTTTAGGCTATATCTACTTAGCACCTTAATCTTAAGGGCACTAAGGCTAAGTTCTTTTACTATATTAAGACTAAAAGTAAGTCTTTTTTTTTCTTAAGTACACCTTAGGTGCCTTTTACTTATTTTTTTATAATTCTAATATTTAGTAGCTACTAGTAATAAGTATACTTAATATACTAATATATATAGTAAAAAGTATATTTATATAAGTAGTTTTTTTTCTTATTCTTTTTTTTAAGAGAGAGGATATATTTATAGTCTTTTACTAACCCCTTATAGGCTACTTATACCTTTACTACTTTTACTTTTACTTTTAAAAAACTTTTTAAAGGTATAGTTAATAAGGCTTTTCTTACTACTAGTTACTATAAAAATAAGGTATATTATCTTTTATTATACCCTAAGTGCTTTCTACCTAACTTTTTTTTATAAAGTAAAATTATTAAGGCTTAGACTATAGTCTATAAAGCCTTTTAAAAAAAAGTAAATACTACTAAGGCCTTTAACGCTAGGCATAAGGCTAAGGCTAAGGAGGAGAAGTAGCTTTTTTACTAGTAAGAGGTTACTACTACTAAGGCTACTACTAACGCTACTAAGTCTATAGCCTGTTTACTAGAATTACTACTATAGTGCTAAAGCGCTAGAATATACTTTTTAAGAAGCAAACTAAGGCTATTAAGGCCTAAGGTGCCTTTTTCTTTAAGTAGGCTATTACCTACTTTACTATTATATATACCTTCTTAATATTCTTTTAGTGTTTCCTCTTAGTGTTAACTTATTATAGTACTATAATAAGCTTAACTCTTAAGATAGTAAGAATAGTAATAAGAAAAAGCTAATAGTAGTAAAAATAATAAATATAATAGTAAGTAGATATCCTCTTACTACTTTTTATATTTCCTCTTACTTTAGTAATTAATACCTTTTTTTCTTTTTACCTTAATGCCTTAAATACATAGCTTTTAGGCTACTTATAATTCCTAGCCTTAAAACTAAAGAACTAATTTGACTTCTACTTTTTAGGCTATATCTTACTTTATACTTTATTCTTCCTTAGTGCCCCTCTAGTAACACCTTTTTTATAGTCTTACTATAGTTCTTAAGCTATATTTCTTTATAGTTCTTAAGAACTTTCTTTTTTACTATACTTCTTTTACTTAATAAGATATTACTTATTTTACTATAGGCCTTTATAAGCTACTATCTTTTCAACTTTATAAATATTTACTTTTCTTTTCTTAATAAGTATATACTATAGCTTTACTAATACCTTATAAAACTTCTCTAGCTAGAAATGTAAAAAAGTATTATAAATATAGTACTTTCTTCTTATATTAAGCTTACAGGCTTTTCCCTTATTAATTACCTATATTACTATAAAAAGACTAAGATACTTATCTAATAGCTTCTTAAATAGCTACTTTTACTAAATAAACTTTACTAAAAGTAAGACTTACTTCTTTATATAGAATTTGATATTAGTCTTTTTAGTGTTATATTATTCTCTATAGGTCTTCTTAATAGTCTCTAAGGTGTTAGTAATAGTAGACCTCTAGCTATATAGCTACTTTACCTTATTATAGGCTGTTAGGACTTCTATAGGCTTTTACCTCTCTAGCTTTATATTATAAGGGTTCTATAGGGTATACCTTATTAAGAATTCTACTAATACTACCTTGCTTATATTATACTATACTTTATTATATATAAACTTTACAATAAGAAGCTACTTTACCTAATTATCTTACTTTATACTATAAAAGACCTTAGGGAAGTACTTAATGTTTTAATTTTAGCCTTTTATCTAGCCATCTATCTATAAGTAGTAAGTAGTACAAAGCTTCTACTTAATTACTAGCTAGTAATATACTATTACTTGAAAATAGCTTATAAATAAAGACCTGTTATTAAAGATAATTACTAATAAGATTTTAAACTATAAGAATACTTTCTTTACTAATAGGCTTATTAGCTAGTCTACTATTATAGTCTTATATATAGGTATATAGATTATATACTTTATAAGTTAGTCTACTACTATTAGTATACTATTATATACACTTTAATCAAAGTCTTCTAACCTAAGTAGCTTAGTAATAAAGTTAAAGAATACTTTAATTTTATAGTTAGCTAAGTAGTGAGAGGGGCACTAGCTTCT